CAGGAGTGGGTAGTTTCTGACGTCATTAGCTCTAGCTCATTATAATATTCCAGCCTTTCACCTGCATGTTGCCCCCCCCCTCAGCTTACTCCGCCTATCTGTGGCAGACGTCGTGGTAGCGTGAGCGTTAACATGGTAGCGTTAGCATGGTAGCATTAGCGTGCCGACGTGGGAAAGAAAAGCTAAGGGAGACACAGTGAACTGACTCATGAAGTAGATTCACCCAGTGAGTTACTAAACACCCACAGGATTGTGTGATGGATTAAGAACCCCGTCTACCATGGTAGTGACTAAAGATCTCTTCCTTGGAATATGTGGGAAGCTTCTGGCCCGACCGGCACCCCAGAACAGAGCAGGTATTCAGGCCGGGCAGGCACAACAACGGCAGCTGTTTCCACTGATTAGTTCCTCTCCTCGTGCCCAAAGGCGGCTAATCAGAGAAATCTGAGGCCTAGAAACAGCCGGAGAGGTCTGAGGTCTACAGAGCAGAGCTAACACAGGTCTAACACATCAGCTTTAGCCAGACACGTCGTTACAGAAAACACCTAGTTCCCCCCCCCCCCTCGTCCGTTTTTCCTCAGCTCCTTTTGTTCCATAATGTCTCCAGCTAGTCCACCCCTCTGAGGAGTAAAGTGGTGAACTCTGCAGGCTTTGATCAGGGCCGGTCTGTTTCATGTTCACACCGAGGCCTTCCTGCTGTTAGAATTAGGCTATAATTACTCACGTTAGCATTGTATGCTATCACACGATCTATGTAAATAACAATATAATAAAACGATATACTTTTGTGTCGAATTCTCTGGCTGTAACCACAGATTCTGTTTTCCTCTCTTTCTCTCTCTACCACATTCCAAGGTTACCTCGATTAATTAGGACCTGGCCTGTTCATGTCAGGGTTAGGGCTGGTAAGTAACTGGCCAATAAGCAGTGTCCAGTCCTCCTTTTGAGGAGGCGGATCGAGCCCAGGAGATAATGCCCATCACCCAGATATCAGGGCTCTTTGTCCACTGAGACCCAGAGAGAGGTTTTTGTCTGTTAGAGCCCAGCGGAT